GGGGCTCGAACTCACGGACCGGGAGATCGTGACCTGGCTTAAGTCGGACGCTTAACCGACTGCGCCACCCAGGCGCCCCTATTCTCAGTTTTTAAGAATCTCTTATAGTTCGCCTCCCTCCCTCTCTAACTTTTTTTCCCCCATGGTCTTCTGTTAAGTTTCTCAGGATCCACATAAGAGTGAAAACATATGGTATTTGTCTTTCTCTGTATGATTTATTTCACTTAGCATAACACTCCATACATTTCTTATTAACAGTTTTATCTTTTCTGTTGCTCTGTAAACTGTACGCTTCTTTTTACGTAATGAAGGTTTTTGGCTTTGTTTTGTTTTTTTAAGATTTTTTTCTTTCTTTTTTTTTCTTTTTTTAAGTTTATTTAATCCTTACACCCAGCCTGGGGCTCAAACTCACAACCCCAAGATCAAGAGTCGCCAGCTCCTCCCATCGAGCCAGCCAGGCACCCTGAGGGCTGTTGCTTTCTGTGTGTTGATTTTATATCCTGTCATCTAACAGAATTCTTTCATTGAGTTGGTTTTGTTTTTGACTCTCTGAGTTTTCTAGGTGTAGTGTGTCACCTGCAAATAATAGTTTCACTTTTTCTCTGTTGATTGTTATGCCTCTGATTGTTTTTCTCCAATCGGAGGTAGCACTCTGCCCCGTTCCCGATCTTACTGAGAATGAGTCTAGTGTTTGTCCATTAAGTAAAACCCCGATTTTAGAACCGAGAAGTCTCCGTAAATACACATGTGCGTGCGTGTCCTCATCTGTGTAAACTTAAAAAGCATACGTGTGCTTGTGTGTGATTGAGATGGGTACGTGTATGCACGTATCACACGTACTTTGCGTCTCAGGGTACAAGAGTGTGTGCGTGTATGCAAGTCCGTGCTAGTGAATCACGTATGTAGTTCAAGTATTGTCAGGTGTTTGCAGCATCTTTGTGGAGATCAGTCTTTTCTTAGCTGTATTATAACAGCATGTTATGTCAGTGGATTTTCAAAGATTAAACAGGTCTGTATTTTTGGAGTAAGTGCCGCTTAGATATTATATGTTACCGTTTCAGTCTGGTGTTGGATTCTGTTTGCTGATATTTCGTTGTGGATGTTTGTGTTGATGTAAGAGATACCGTGTAATTTTATCTATCCTATTTATTGATCGATCGGTCTCCTAATCCTGGTACTCCTTGCCGTGTGGACTGAGAACCCAGAAGGTTCTTACTCTCCATGGCAGTTCACAGGCTCACTCGGCCTGGACCAGCTGGGACGCCCTGCTCTGGGTGGCCAGTCAGCTCAACTCTGCAGTCTTGGGCAGTCTCAGCCGTGGCATCCGGATCAGTGGTGTGAACCCTTGTTGATGCAGACTTTGTAAGTGATATAAACCCCTTGTTGATGAGGACTTAGTAAGTAGCAGGGCCATGGGGCACATTTGCTGAGCGCTTCTCTTCTGAAATATGAGTTCAGTGTTCGCGGTCGCCCGAACTACTCCTGGCAGCAACTCTGGAAACCTTCTTGCCTCCTCCGTTGGGGCTTCTGTACCCCCTGTTCGGGCTGGGGTGGAAGGGTATCTCGAGTGTTTGAAGGAAAAGTGTTCCCTTTGATAAATCAGTTGTCCTGCTTCGCTGCAAATACCTTTACAATGTCTGCACGCCTCAGTGATAGCTTGGCTTCATATACGGTTCTGGGTTCGAAATCCTTTTTCCTTTGCAAGCAGTGGCCAGTTCTCTGTGGGTTTTTCTCAGGTGAGAAGTAGAATGGCAGTTCCCAGGGGTACCTAAGGGTGTTTTTTCCACCCTTGTAACTTTTTAGGATTTTTTTTCCTTAATTTTTCCGCTTTGGGTATTTTGTCAGGAAATTTCTAGATCTGTATTTTCCTCCCAGTAGTCCTGTTTGCGAATTGGATGGCCCCTTTTGATGCGAAGGCTTACTTGATTCTTCAGCTCAGGTATCGTTTTCAGTTGTTGTTTTTTTTTTTTTTTTTTTTTTTTTTTTTTTTTTCTCGTTCGTTGTGAAAATGTCAAATCTGTCAGATTTGGCTTTCATATCTCAAGCTTTATCTCATTTCAATTTCTAGTTATCTGAGAGATTTCCTAGATTATATATTTTGTGTCCCATTTGTTATTTAAGCCTGTTCCTTGGGGATTTTAAAAAATTCAACAATTTGGTCTTTAATCTCTAAGCATTTTGTGATGGCTGTTTTTAGGAGAATGTTCTCATGTTATGGAAGCAATATCCTGCTTAATTGTTAAAAAATATAAATCAGTGGAGGGGCGCCTGGGTGGCGCAGTCGGTTAAGCGTCCAACTTCAGCCAGGTCACGATCTCGCGGTCTGGGAGTTCGAGCCCCGCGTCGGGCTCTGGGCTGATGGCTCTGAGCCTGGAGCCTGTTTCCGATTCTGTGTCTCCCTCTCTCTCTGCCCCTCCCCCGTTCATGCTCTGTCTCTCTCTGTCCCAAAAATAAATAAATGTTGAAAAAAAAATTTTAAAAAAAATATATAAATCAGTGGAAAAACTGTAAGTTGTTTCCTTTATGAAATTGATTCCATTATTGCTGACCAGCTCACCTTGATGCTTAGCTTTTACTTACTCGCTTCTCCTCAATTGGTGAGAATTCTTGATTTTTTTAGTTTCAGTTTTTGAGAGAAAAATTACTAATAGCTAACGTGAATATATTCACCTAATGACCCCATTTTGCGCTTTCCCTTGTGGAGGGGAAGTCTGCGGAGCTCTAGAAGTTAGTGGATTAGCGATACGTGTTTTAGGTAGATATCACTTGATTTTTTTCTTACAGTGTTTTTATTGTGGTAAATTACACATGACGTGAAATTCATTCACTGTTTTAACCATTTTAAGATACCCAGTTCATTGGCATTAAGTACATTCACATTGTCAGGCAACCATCACCATCAGCCATCTCAAGAATACTT